TCTCAAGTGTCGTGACCGAGGCTAAGGTGTAGGCAAAGGCCGAGCCCTGAAGTGTGGTCAGCATTGCCAACAGAAATATAAACATCTTAGCCGTGGCCCACCTCTGGAGCCATTTGGGACGCCATGAGCCCACTCCACAGGCATACTGTCCCGAATGGTGGCCATCCGAGTCGTTATTTTCGCTATAATAAGCCATTTATGGTGACATTTGGTTAAGGATTACTGCAGTTATGATGAGTTATAAAAATGTTCATATGTTTAGTAAACTATTTCTTAAAATCAAATGAAGATTTTTGATTTAATTAATCAAAAGGATTTCATATCTTGTTTATATATTGTTAATCACAATTTGATTTTATGTTACAAATGTGATAATAGTCTTAATAAATATTAATGCTAGAAAAAATACTGTACTTTTATCAATAGTATTTATAATTTTATATTTTTAATAGATTAATAAATTCCAGTAAATTTAATTCAAAAGTGCATTGTCAGGGCACTTGTTGAAGTATTTAAAGTGATAGATTCGCATTAATCATTCAATCACTACATATAAACGAGATATAAGTTATTGAAATTCATTGATTTATTTGACAAAAACCATATGTCATACAGTTTTATATAAATTGGTTCAAAATAAGAAAATGCTTAATTTAATATAATATTTCACTTTTGTGTGTAAAATATTTTACACAAATATCTTAAATTGTAAAAGAATTTTGAACGAAATATTGAAATGATTTATAAATTTTAAGTTTAGAGTCTTAACTTTTAATTTTAGTTTTATTCACATTTAATTATTTAAAAATAGTTTTAAAAAATAATACTTGTTACAGTATTTTGTTTAAAAAAATATTGTTCTATATTTACTTAATTATATCTAATACATTTCATCAGACTTACATTTATTCCTTGATTATATTTATTAATAAAATTCTCGAATTAAATAAATAATAGTAGGTATAGTTTTTTCTAAGTGCTCTGGGCAGCATTGTTGAAGGTTTACATTTAAAATGCAACTTTGAGAAAAATAAAATTTATTTATAAATTTATATTTATTGTTTATATTTAATTAGCAAAAAGGTTTGTTGTCTGATAAATGAGTTAAACATCATATAATTAATATAAAAAAAATTAATACCTTTATAATTTAGTACAGAGTGCAACTTATTATAGAATGTTCTGTTATGTACTTATTTCATAAAATATTAATTTTATTTTTATATATAATTTGTTTATTTTTCTAAAAAATAAGTAAATAAATTTTTTTATGGTAAATGTTACTCATAAATGTTAATAAATTTAAATGCACACATAAAATTGCAATCAATATTTATTGTACTATTTAGTACTTTTATGTTATACAATATGTTATGTAATGTAATTGTCTATAATAAGAATTAAAATTTGGGAACAATTGTATTTTCAAGCTTTAAAATTAAATTTAACCTTATATTATATAAAAATTATCATAAGGCTTTATAATATAAGTTATTTTAATTTCATTATTTTATTTAAAATAAATATAATATAAAAATAAATTATTTATCCCAATTACCTAAACCTATTTTAATTTATAAACAAAAAATTATTTTTTGTGATCATTTGATGGTTTGTTAATATGATGGTCTGTCTCATCCTCGTCATCGTTGTATAGGTTTTTGATTCTGTGCGATAGGAATACCACTATTATGTCGAATATTGAACCAACGAAATACAAGCCAAGAGTTAACCCGATCAGTCTATAGCGAAACTTATCCACGTCATACACCAGACAATTACCCGTTTTGCCGCACTTAGACTCCCATACCTCGCACGCCGTGTTAGTTACCCACCCATACACCAACGGGTACGGTATGAATGCTATTTAAAGTGAAATATAGTATTGTATATTTAATTCTATCTGATTTCAATCTAGATAATTTTATTTTCTAATTAATTATATACTTATTAGATAAGATTAAATTTACCAAATAATGAATAGAATGCCCCTGCTACACCCATGGCCAGACTTTTATCTTCCTCGTCCACTATTCTAATAAACAATGCAATAGGTTAGAGATTTATGTATATTTATAGTAAGTTACAAAATATTAACATTAAATTTTAATAAACTTTTACATTTGTTGCTAACAAGTAAGTTAATAAATGTTTAATACCTGAATGATATGATAACATTACCGGCCATAGCGGGACGACCCACTATGCCCGCTATAGCCATCAGGATTATTAGTATTTCGAAATTATTGCCACAATGAGAGTCACAAAAGCCTTCGGTTGCCATTCCTGTTATCCCCGTGTGATTAACCATCCCTGACATCCCAGACATCCCTGACATCGCAATGTCATCAATACAATCACACCCCGAGAAATGCTTTAAGAAATTGTGTCCCAATATAATCAAAGGTTACTAAATGTTAAGCTGTACTGTATTTGCTATCAATATCTCTTACATTTGTGCCATTAATGGATGCAAGAGATCGCGGATCACAACCGGCATAACAGGGNTAATTTTAAAGCTTGAAAATACAATTGTTCCCAAATTTTAATTCTTATTATAGACAATTACATTACATAACATATTGTATAACATAAAAGTACTAAATAGTACAATAAATATTGATTGCAATTTTATGTGTGCATTTAAATTTATTAACATTTATGAGTAACATTTACCATAAAAAAATTTATTTACTTATTTTTTAGAAAAATAAACAAATTATATATAAAAATAAAATTAATATTTTATGAAATAAGTACATAACAGAACATTCTATAATAAGTTGCACTCTGTACTAAATTATAAAGGTATTAATTTTTTTTATATTAATTATATGATGTTTAACTCATTTATCAGACAACAAACCTTTTTGCTAATTAAATATAAACAATAAATATAAATTTATAAATAAATTTTATTTTTCTCAAAGTTGCATTTTAAATGTAAACCTTCAACAATGCTGCCCAGAGCACTTAGAAAAAACTATACCTACTATTATTTATTTAATTCGAGAATTTTATTAATAAATATAATCAAGGAATAAATGTAAGTCTGATGAAATGTATTAGATATAATTAAGTAAATATAGAACAATATTTTTTTAAACAAAATACTGTAACAAGTATTATTTTTTAAAACTATTTTTAAATAATTAAATGTGAATAAAACTAAAATTAAAAGTTAAGACTCTAAACTTAAAATTTATAAATCATTTCAATATTTCGTTCAAAATTCTTTTACAATTTAAGATATTTGTGTAAAATATTTTACACACAAAAGTGAAATATTATATTAAATTAAGCATTTTCTTATTTTGAACCAATTTATATAAAACTGTATGACATATGGTTTTTGTCAAATAAATCAATGAATTTCAATAACTTATATCTCGTTTATATGTAGTGATTGAATGATTAATGCGAATCTATCATGTTAAATATTTAAACAAGTGGTCTAATGCACTAAATTGCACATTTGGATTAAATTTACTGGAATTTATTAATCTATTAAAAATGTGAAATCATAAATACTATTGATAAAAGTACAGCATTTTTTCTAGCATTAATATTGTGTATTCAGAAAATTACCACATTTGTAACATAAAAATCAAATTGTGATTAACAATCTATAAACAAGATATGAAATTCCTTTGATATATAAAATCAAAAATCTTCATTTGATTTTCAGACACAGTTTACTAAACATATGAACATCTTTTACAACACATCATAACTGCAGTAATCCTTAACCAAATGTCACCATAAATGGCTTATTATAGCGAAAATAACGACTCGCATGACCACCAGTCGGGACAGTATGCCTGTGGATTGGGTTCGTGGCGTTCCAAATGGCTCCAGAGGTGGGCAACGGCTAAGATGTTTATATTGCTGTTGGCAATGCTGACCACACTTCAGGGTTCGGC